CTGTAACGGGTCATCTGATTTAGGACAACACAAACTTCCTTCCTCGACCAGTACATTTGAATCAGGCAGACTAATTCAATCACAGCTACGAATGTAAGGGCATAGCAGACGTGATAATAGGGGTGTCTGTTGCCTCCCTTGTACCACCAGATTTCGCAAGTGCGAATCACGAAGCATGAGACCACGGTGATGAAGATGGTAATAGAGGAGAAAAGCCTTCTCCTGGATTTTGACAATGTGTAGAATAAACCAGTTTTTGAATATACATGCACAGGTTGCGCGCCAATCAAGTTGGGTATGTGGAAAACGTAAGATAATAATTTAAATAAATATTTTGTGTACATGATTGTCCAATTTCTGGGGTTATTTAAATAGTGAAGATGGTTTTAATCCACAATTGAAGAGGCAAAGCAATCATACAATAATTATGTCTTTTGACTTTTACGAATTTAAGTTATAAGCTAAATATGAAAATGTCGACTTGTTGCGGTGTTATATTTAGTTGTAGTGTTGGACAGTATTATTGATATGTCGTTCTCTCAGCTAAAGTTCTCCTGCAATCACTAACTGCTTTTGGCTTCCTTGCAATAATTTGTTTTAATCGTGCAGAACGTAGAAGAACGCGTCTATATGACGGATTGTCCGAACAATATTTTTACTCTATTTCTGCATGTCCATATTTTTTCGACTTCAATTTGCTATGTCTTGCTTTCAAAATCGATGGTTGAGAAACCAATTTCACTATGATCGATCCTTTCAAGGATTAATGAAATATTTAGATAGGATATGAATGTAATTCAATTTACTACATCAAGACAATTCGTAATTAAGTTACCTACAGGGTGCCTATAAATAATTTTTATAAAAACTCTTCGGTGACGCAGTATGTGTCGCGAATAAAAAGGTACAAGAAGAAATTTTTAATGTACAGATGTCCGTTATAAATCCGAGAACTTAAGACATCTAAAAATTGTAGTTTCGCTCTGGAAAGTTGCGTCGCCGTTTGCCCATCATTATATAGGTTGGTGTAGTAAATAATTTAGACCAATTTTGGTTTATTACAAATAATCCTTGGGAGGGATCGTATGAATAATGCTGTACAACGCAGCACTGCCGATCTGTTTACAGCTTGAAGTTGAATAAACTACAGATGTTTTACGGTATGTGATAAATTCTGGGTGTCACTTTTATGCAGTTTGGATGGAACATTAGTACTGCATGTAAGTCACTTGCACATTCATGTATTTATTAACGCTATTTGGCTATTCAAATCCCAACAGCGACTAACGGAGCAATCGCAACTTATAAAAACCCACATACAAGGAGTCATGTGTACATATAATTTCCGACACAAAAAATTCACGGTGTGAGGAACCCTGCAGTATGAGTTTTGTGAATCATATATTTCTATAAATCCACAGTTTATAAGCAGAGGGTTTTATTAATAAAATGATATCGTAGCAGCACGGGCTTCATCAATTACGCATGCTGTTGGTTGGATTTATATGAGAAACGGATTAATGGGGTGATTATCTGGATGTTATTGTTCCAATGCAAGCTATATAAGATAACTGTAATTGCAAATATAACTTTTGATGAAAGTTGGATATGTGGAAATTTTCGGATGGAAATGACATTCCGGTTGTCGTTATTATGGTGGTAACGGAAGAAAAATCAGTACAATTTTACCAGCATTATAATCCTAGGATGAAATGCTTTAATTTTTATATACATAGAATTTTGTTCGTTAGTTCGTAATATTACTGTGACTATTCCACCAGTTTAAAAATTAGAGAAAAAATACACATGCTTAATAATTAAATACCTCGCTTCCTGCCAGTTGACAATTCGAATGAGATAGAACTTACAGTGACTGGACACAAGTTTAAATCCCTCGCCAACTGCTCGATAACACATGAGCTATCTCGGTATCCAGTTGACCGATTCGCACGAAATTCTTTTTGTTAGAAAGCAAATTTATCGTAGATTGAAATAGTACAAAGAAATTTGAATTTATGTTATCCAGGCATCGAGTACATTGAGACGAAGTATAAAAGTCATGAACGGAGCGGGACAAAAGTATTGGTGCGCTTGCCTTTCGTTGGTGATTGTAAAGTCCCACAGGCGAAATTACTTTGTAGAAGACATTTATCTCATTAAGTTTGTTTCATTTTAACTCCTCAACGTGCTGGTTTGCCAAAATTGGTAGAGGAAGGGAATTTACGGTAGCTAAAAGAAAAGTGATTGTAGGAATGCATCACAAATGGGTGTGGCCAGCTGCAATTGCAAGATTGACCAACTTCAAGTGTTGGACAATCCGGAACACTATTTGGAAGTGGAGGTTATAGGCAATTTGAACTCAGCGCCAGGGTCAGTCAGAAAAAGGGCTACAACTGCTTGAGTTGGCAAGAGAGTTCTCCTGAGTGTCGATCAAGGGAATCGGTCTGGATATGCCTCCAAGTTGGTCAAAAAGCTAGATCTTGCTGTTTGTCAGAAAGCAGTGCTTTGTAGCTTTCATGGGCCAAATATCCGTGGTTTCCGAATCGGTGTAGACGCCGTTGTTGACCAAGACAAATTTGCAACAGAAGACTTTAGTAGACTAAATATCATGCTACCTGGACTCAAAAGCACTGGTCATTAGTGCTTTGGTCAGATCTGAGCAAAATTGAACTAATTTGGCGGATGTGGGCCTCAACATCTCTGGCGAAAGCAAAATGAAGGCCTAAAATAGGATTTCGTGACGGTAACACTGCCGCTGGGACTTTGCAACATGCAATCGTTGAATTTATTTCCTCGGCTCTATTTCCAATATAATATGGTTGTGATTCTTAGATTCAGTCCAAGCAAAAAACATGCTTCGTGCAATTCCAAGTAGCGCTGTGTGCATGTAATCGAATACAAATCCGTGAACAACGTCAAATTTTGGTAGTGTTAACAATCTCGAAGCAGATTTGATACCTAAATATGAAGGGACCGATTTCCCTTCAAGAAGTTTTTGCTTCAGATCAAGTAAACTTTTAATGAATTGTTCATGACTCCTAGGTTGAGCAACTTCGGTTGGAGCGAATATCCATTTGTGACCTCGTTCTGAGCTTTTATACTTTTTTCCTTTAATTAGGCACCTGGGACAACTATATTCTCCATTGAATTGATTAATTCCCTGTACCTGGCATCTAGCAACAGAATCAGCAGCAAAGATGGGAAAAAATATTCGGCTTGTAATCTCTTGCCCGTTTAGTATCCAGCGTAAGCCTTGACCTCCCAACTCCAAAGCTTGGCTCACGAATTCGCCGAAAAATGAATCAAAGTTTGGTTTTTGTCGTCCAAACCAAAGACCTGCTAACACGGTATTGTTTCTCCTCAAACGATAATCTAATTCGTTAATAGATACTGCAGCGGCCAAATGCTAAATTTGGAGGAATTGAACACAGCTACTCCGTCTGTATTTACACTGCATGTGAAATCCATTTTTGAGAGGTTAAGGCGTTTATACATCACGCCGTCCATTATTGATGAGTATGAGTTGGCAGGAATATTCGATCGCTTGCTGAGGTTGCGTAGCAATGATTCTTGTACATTTAATTGTTGCAATACGTTGTTCAGCATTTGTTGAATATTGAATGACATAAAAAAATGTCCCTCCTGGATTGCTGTTGCCCGAGTCTGCTTTTCTTCGCAATTTGAACATTCACTTTCGTTTTCCTGAATAAGATGCTCGCATTTTCTGCAATACGGAATTTTGGATGTGTCCGTGTAATTAATCCCAAGAGATTTCTCCAACAAGTAAACAGATGTAGGAACTGATACGCCAACGGGTAGGTGAAAATTAACAAGATTTAAGATATCTCCGAGTAAAGTTTTGCTAAGCTTGTGTCGTACTCTTAATCCCATAATCATGAGAGAACTTTCCAGTCGGGTTATCCTGGCATATTCATACAACGGCTGATGAGGCAGCTTCTAAAATTTGCATGTATAATATAACAGTCAATAATTTTTCATCTTATTGAAACTAATTAGTTATTAAGGCAAATACATATAAATGTACCTGACTGGATTCAAAAATATCTTCTTCGTTAGAATCATCATCGTCGGTGTCACTGATGGGAGAATTCTGATGAATTTCATTATCATGCTCTAAGAGAGGATTTGTCCCTACTTGTTGGGCTTCAACGGGTTGAGGCTGCACATGAGCAACTAACTAAAGATAATATAAAATTGTAAAAATAGTGATCAAATGATTCTGAGAGTAAAAAATAATATATTTACAAATACTGATCCAACTTACTGTAGCACTTAATCGGTGCCTGGTTCGCTGGGGGATGCGAGCAGATTTACCGTGGGGAGAGAAGTAAGTCTTGTAATTGTTTTTTCTCGTCATTATTAACAATTATTGCTGATATAAGTTGATCAGAATAATTTACGCAGTTGAGCATATAATTCTAAATGCTGCGTCGAACGTGCCCGCGAATGAGATTTTGTATTCCATCCTCAGTGTCACCCGTTCCAACTAGTGCATGCCTTCCTTTTTATAAGCATATTAATTAAAAATAAGTTTTTACAAATATTGATTAATTGAAAATGAGTTATTTGTTGATTGACTGGGTGGACGAGCTACCGAAAACGTATTCGGTTGTTTTGTGCAATCGTTTGGAGGATGAATCTCTTCGGTCAGATCCATCGAAACTGGTTGGAAAAACGGTCCAGATTCTATGGAATCGAGGAAAATCCTATCCTGGACTAGTATTAAAAATTGGTAACGAACTAGTAATAGCAAAATTTTATTTGTAATCAGTTCAATAATATTACAATAATGTTGATATTAATGTAGGAACTGACGAAGAAGTTTTGGTGCGCGAAGCCGATGAATTGGCAATAAAAGCAGCCAGTGAAAATCAAGTGGTTTCAACTTCTCGTCGAGGTAAGCTAATTTATAATTCGTTATAGTTAAATATTCCCACTTTCAGACCGCGTATTTTCTTCTTCTAGGAAAAAAACGTGGCGCTGACCGTGCTGACAAAATTGAGGAAATAGTTTCTGCTTCTCTACGACTTGAAGAGGAAGCAAATCGTCCTACTGACACTACAATCAATTCCATTGACGAGGTCGGCACCGCACCAGAGGGCGATTCGATTAATTATGAGGGTACGTAGAATAATTTGTTAGTTAGAGCCAAGCTTACACAGTTCTTTAAAGTTATGCCTGATTTTGCTAGAAAAGTACAGGGAACTAAAAGTCAAGCATCGGCGACTCAAAGAAAAATACAAACAATTGTAATTACGCTTGCCTAGCGGTAATTTAGACGTGAGTTAATCCCTTGTTTATAGATATTAGAGTTTACTGTAAATATTTTCTAAATCCATGATAACGTTACAGGTCGAACTCTATCCCGACTCTGGAGTGTTCTTACCCAGTTCCGATCTGGCAGCTATCAAAATTGCTTCAAACAAGCCTACCGTTTTGGCTAGAAATCTGTTTCGGCGATTGTTCAGCATAGAAGAGATGTCGAGCCATTCATTGTTCTGAAAAAAGTGCAACGCGAATCAGGGCCAGGTCCCACTTCCAGAAATTGATGTTGGAAGACGAAATGCAGTAATCAGTAAGTCCTTAATTTTATTTTAGCTATGTTCTTAATTGCATTAATTTAAGGAATTTGATTCTTTGCAGACTATGTCTTAAAGGAGGAGGGATTTGATGCACCCCCAACTACAGGAAACATTGAAGCAGACGGAATCTTCTTGAAAGCGAAAAAAACTACACACAAGGAGATATCAAAATCGTTGACAGAGCTTCTTCGTCAAGAACATAAGCAGCGAGTAATTAGTAATTACAGATTAGTCACGTAGAGTTTAAAAATCTGTTCTATTTCGGAATTTTACGAATGTGAAATAAAAGAACGTTTATGTGACAAGAATTTTATGAACATTTCTTTATGCACAAAAACCAGCCAATTTGCTTCATAAAATGCTATGCATAAAGTATTGGGCAGAAAGGGTTGCCATAAACCATTATGCATGATGCATTATGTCGTAAAGATTGGGCAGAATAATTTTGCCATAAAAAGCAGCCAATTCGCGACAGGGCAACCTAACATAACTTGCCAGAGATTTTATGCATAAAATGTCGGAAAATTTTTATACGGGAAGGTTTTCTCCGCATTTTGCTAAAATTCTAGCAAGGTCTAAGGTTATGATGTTTTGACATATGACCAATTACATAGTTATGTTGAGTTATTGGTTATTGGTTTGTGACCACCTCGACCATCTTATTTGCACCGTGAGAAAGCTTTTTAGTAAAATTCAGGGTCACCGTAACGTCGCCGAATAATTGCCAATAAACTAAAAACGAGCTTACAACAGTTACAAATAATGAGATAAATAATGGTTTTGGTTTGGCAGGCTAATCGTAAGCTCAAAAGTTCTGGGAGTCATCTCAACGTGATCTTTTTTGGCATGAAAGGAAGTCAAATTGTTATAAGCTTTCACATGAGTTACTTCAATGGGGAAAAACTCCATTGTAAATTTACAGCGGTTGGATTTGTATTTTGGTAACAAACTTGATCTGAAATAACTCCGGAACGGTATTGAATTATAGCTTCAACTTTTGCACATAGTCGATGTGTACCTTGAATCGACGTACCCAAAAATTCAACTTGCCATCTTCAAAAGTGCCCTCTTCCGTCCCCAGGAGTGCGAACACGTGGTTCCAAAACTTTCCAAACTACTGTTATTTCAATAATTTAATTTTTTTTTGTTTTCCTCAGTTACAGAAATTTTTAAGCTTTGCCTTTATAACATGCAATAACAATAGTTGTACGTTAAATAACACAAAAAAACACCGTAAGTTATTTTCTAAAAAAAATTGTCAATTAATTTTCTAACTTTTTTAAAGATTATTTTAGGTTACTGCGCTGGATGATGAACTTTGGTCCTTCTCGATAAATGTTTATCCAAATCTCTACTGCTCAATTTAATGTTGCTTAAGACCCTCTAAATGAGTATTAATTTTACCTGGTGTGTCCTTTTTAAAGGTCACAAGGTCAGATTTAAGGGAAGGGTCAGATTTAGATCACTTCTGGGGTACTTTCATCTGGTTGTGGAAGGCCAGATTTGTATGAATCATGGCAAACCAGGTTGGTACTCCATACAAGACTTATAAAGTGGTTACCCTATTCACAATTTCTGACCTTTGAACTCATCAATTATAATGCTGTGTGAGTATTTAAGTTTGGAAAGTGTTTTGACCACATGTTCGCACTCCGGTGGTACTAATGAGGGCATTTTTGAAGCAATCGAGCTGAGTTTTTGGCAGAGTATAGCTGAGGGTCACATAGCTGAGGGTCAGCTATAGCTGAGGGTATAGCTGAGGGTCACAAAATCCGTAAACTTTTACACACATTTCTAAGGAAAATTGGGCTATAAATTTCTGAAAGCTTAATCAGATCATTACTTTTAATTTGTAAAGGTATGCAAAATTATTTTACAGAGTTACTGCAAGAATTGCCTCATAATACGAGACAGTCTGTACCCCTCTGTAAACTCTGTGCGTTTTGTACAATAATTTTACAAAATAAAGTGCGGCAAAGCACGATACATAAGTAGCGCAATAATGCTGAGAATGCTGAGAATGCTGAGAATTAATTAATTAATTGACTGATTGATTAATTAATTGATTAATGATTGATTAATTAATTAATTGATTGACTGATTGATTAATTAATTGATTAATGATTGATTAATTAATTGATTAATGACTGATTGATTAATTAATTGACCACATGCTCTATACTTCGACAAGTCGACAACACCGAAAAACATGTTTTGCCTAAATTTCATGCATATTGACCGCAAAATGCCGAAATTAGGGCATGGCGACAAAATTTGTCGTCGAAACCTTGATCGCCATATTGCGACATGTCGACAACACCAAAAAACATGTTTTCGCCAAATTTCATGCAAATCGCCCAAAAAATGCTGAAATTAGGCCATGGCGACGTTTTTCGACATGATGTCGACAAAGTGGCCACACCCCCTTAATAGGGTGTCACTCCACCCCCGTGATTAACATGTGTTCAAAATTTCAGGTCGCTACGACAAACCGTTCTCGAGTTTTAGTGTTGACGGACGGACGGACAGACAGACAGACAGACAGACAGACTAACTAACCGATCGCATAAAGTAGCTTGCGCTACTTAATAAAGAGACACCCTTGACCTGTTAAGAAAAATTGTACACTAATTTTCTTTACAAATGTGTGTAAAATTGCAGAATTAGCATATTTTACAAAGCTGCGAAGACTGACTTACTACTGTCCTCAAAACTTAAAGCTATAATTCAATACCGTTCCGGAGGTATTTAAGATCAAATTTGTTACCCAAATAAAAATCCAACCTCTGTATTATACTGATTAGTTATCCAAAGTACTATAATGCCAAGCAAATCCCCAAATCTAATCACACAAAGATAATAAGTTATATAAGTACACACCAATACGTCTGACTTTATCTGCCTTAATGGTTGAGGTGATTATCACTATCTGAAATTAACATTCCATTACTCCTTCAAACATCACTGCATTTGCTGAATCTTATTATTATTCCAGCAGCATTTAAGAATTTACTATTCATTCCAGACCTCCTATGGAACCTATTGAAATTCCTCTAAATGAATCCTCTAAATCGCCTTTTGCAAGTGCAACGTCGATACAACAACTTGGCAATGGTTCGTTCGGATCGGTTTTAAAAATTACGAAAAATCACGATTTTTTTGGTCTAATTGATGTGGCCGTTAAGTTTATCCCACTCGGAAATTTAGAAAAATATGAAGACGACAAAATCAGACAATACATGCTCGACAGGAGAGATAGAATTTTACGAGAGGTACACAACGCGGTTCGAGTCGAACATCCAAATTCTGTGTTTACCTACAAATACGGATATCTGTCAATCACAATGGACACTATTGTTCAACATTTTTCAAGCGATGAATCCTCCTGCTATGATTTTGACGCATCTCGTCCTGAATCCACATTCCTGGGGAAGTTCGACTACAACGCAGCGAGAGATGGGTTTGCAGAAACACTTTGGATACAAATGGATCTGTGTGGTCCAAATTTAAGGAGCTGGCTAAACCAAAATCAAGAGCAATCAAGTCATTCTATGCAATTATTACAACTTGGGATATGCAAAGGATTGGTGGAAGGGGTCAAGTTCCTACACAATCGAAATGTTATCCATCGTGATTTGAAGCCTGAAAATATATTTTTTTCGAACCACGATGGATTCGTGTTACCCGTAAAGATTGGTGACTTGGGCCTGTCGCGGCGACTCGTGGCACTAAACGACCAGAATCCTGATGAATCCATGATCGATGGTGGTAACTAGAATACATTTGTGCAAACTTGTTTATTTAAAAAATAAAATAAGATAATTAATTTTTAGTAGTAAATCTAGACTCGGAGAAAGCCATGCTTCTCACTAACCAGACTGGAACACGGTCATACATGGCGCCAGAAATTGACAAAAAAGACCCAAAAGTTATCTACGACTTCCGGGTAGACATATACTCCGCGGGACTCATAATTTGGGAAACATTGCAGCCCATACAGAACGATAGACCAATTATGTTCCAAGAACTCGTCCAACAAGGAAAAACAGAGCTTGTCGACGACCACCCACTAATTGTCAACAGTAAAGAACTTATTGTAGCAATGACTCAGCAAGACGCCTATAAGCGCATCAATAACATCAATTATATCGAATTTCAAACTGTGTCATCACCAAACGAAGTTTACACTGCGCACAACTCGAGTGAGTTAAACACCTGCCTAGAAATTTGTAGTGATGGTGCCACCATCAATCTTGCAGCGGGAGATTATGTGGGAGAATTTGTTTTGCTCAAAAATTCCGTTACCCTTCAAGGAGATCCAAACTTCTTGTCTGTCATTTTGAATTGTACGTGCGGTCTTACAATTGAGGGGAATCATAACACTGTCAAAAATTTGAAATTTAGTTGTTGCGAGATTAATTCAATCATGGTGCATGGTTCCAATAACAGGATAGATAATATCCTAATACTAGATTCCATTGCAGGCGTAATGGTTTATACTCTACGTCCTACTACCACACCGTACTCGTACAACTTGATAAGAAATATTAAGCTTATTGATGTCACCACTGGAATATACATTTCAAATGGCGCATTTAACAAATGCAACAATATTACGTTCAGTAGGTGTTGTAGTACAGCGACCCTTACAGGGATTAAGTTAGCGGGTGGAAATAACCATGAAATTGATGGCCTGATTTGCACGGGTTTGAAATTATCTATGAATGATGTTGGAGTGTCCACTGGTGTTATATCATCGATTCGAAACAGCACTGGTGGATCCATACTCGCCAAAGGAGATAATGTGCGACTAGAAAATGTTACGGCGGAAACAATACGAATTAATGGAGGGTTGTATAATATTCTTAATTGCGTGGCAGATGAAATTATAATAGTGCTCCAATAATTCCAGTTTCTGTAACGACAATGAATACTGAACTTAATTGTTGGCATCGAACAATAGTGTTTAAGCGACATAAAATTTTGCGTTAAATTGTATTAAATGAGTAAACATTATTATTATTACTGCGGCCACAATCCTAATACATAAATACCCGTTGCAAACTGTACTTAAATTGTGTGCGTAGTCATGGCTATACATGCACATGTCAATGTTTTGCAATGAAAGTTGATTAGAAACGTTGAATAAAATTTAACTTCGCTTAAGACAAGTTAAATTGTATGAAAGAATTGCATATTT